TAAAAAAATAAATTTAATAGATATATATATATTCTAATTGTATCCATACTGAAAGTAATAGAAATAAACTATTAATAAGAAAAATAATAAAATAAGTTTTTTTTTTAATATTAACAAAATTATATAACTTATAAAAATAATTGATTGAATTTATATACTACTATTTAAATTTTATATTTAATATATTTTATTTAATATTGAATAGAGTTTAGAATTAATTATATTTATTATGCTAATTATTTCTTATTATTTATTTTATAGTAGAAGAAAATTGATCAATCGATTGTATGCATTACTAATTACTGTTTTTTGGGTTAACTATCTTATTTATTTATTTATTTATTTTGTAGGGCACCAAACTCATGACGTGTGTCTTCTCTACTGACATGGAAGCATATGATCATTGTTTAAAACTCTTTAAGACTTACGAGATATTTGTTAAACAAGGCAAAGACTACGAGACGGATCTACCAAACTTCAACTCTGACATCCAGCTCTATCTCACCAGACAATGCAACATCATCCCGGTCGAAACTAATTTCATATCTTCTCTGACTGGTAAGCCATCGTTCAAAAAGCTCTCATGCATTGTTGATTGCTTAGCAACAAATGAGTACATTGGTATAACTCTATTATGTTTATGCTATAATTTATTTACTTGTTCATATTTTTGCATTTATACCTAATATATGATACATATCATACAGATGTTATCGGTGTATTGATAGATGTTGCGGAACAAAGGCAAAGAAACAAGCGTCAACAATCAACCTCTTCGAACATTATAGGAGATCGTGTTCAAGAGATTGTAATCCTAACTGAGGAGTAGGCGTAGATTCAATTAGATTTATTTTGGTATCATTATATTTTTATCACCTTTTTCACATTAATGTATGTTTTCATCTTTAATCACAATTTATTTCTTCTAAAAGAATTTTTGTCAATAATTATGCCTAACAACTATATTTAGAAATAAATATACTAAATGTTTATCAGCATCCATTATTATTCGACTTCTTTTAATATTAGACTAAATTCACCGTATTCATAGTAACATATGTTCCTCACTTAGTTTTTCCCATTAATTTTCATACATAATAGATTGCTACCGGCATGACTGACCTTATGGAATGAATTGGTGGACGCTGAAGGAAAATACTTCATATCCATTGTAAAGGAAAGACCTATCATTGCTGCCCTCCACCTGAAAGCAACATCGTAATGCAGGTAGTTTATGCATCAATCTTATTTGACTCAATATATATAAATTATTGTCAATTCTTGTATCATAGTCCACCTAGTTATCATTTCATTTCATTTGATTCTATATTTGCATGTCTAGGTATTTCGTTATCTGCAATTTCCATGGCGAATTTTATTATTGATCCTCCATATCCTGAAGCTGACCATCTATTGAACTGGTAAGTTTTTTTTTTTATATTAAATCAACATTTTATATTTTTATATCGCAACACTACACTCCTATTGAAAATCAATTACAAATTTCATGTTAATTCAAAACACTTTACATCACAGGAAGATTAATAATAAAGTATGCATTGATGACCTTGTAATCCAAAAACCATACTTCAACACGGCCAAAGAAAGCCCGCTAGCTGTAGTAGCTCTCTCAACAATTATAATCATGTCACAATCTACCCGTGTGAGTTATTTATAATGTATATTTGTTTATGCACAAATAAAACATATGAAAGTAAACCAAAAATTGTTTGATATAGCAAAGTGAGTACAAAATCAAGGGATGTTTAGCAATTCAAGTGGATAAGAAAGTGCAACTCTACTACAATGCCTGCGATAAGTGTTACACATCAACACCCGCCCCAATAACACGGAAGTTTTTTTGTTTAAGGTGCAAATCTGTCCAATCGTCAGAGCAAAAGTAAAAAAGTCTATTTATTTTACTTTATACACATTGGAAATTTTATATATATATATATATAACAACACACATTTATAAATAGGTCAATTATGCGGTTACAGATTGTTGATCAGACATGATCGATTTCCTGCGTTACTTATGACAATATAGCGCAACAAATTCTTAACTTTGACTTTCTGGAGTCATACGAACTGGGACAACAGTTATACTTTAAATATTTCATCAAAGTAATATAGTGTCTCGTTATATATATTTTTTGCAATTCATAATGCAAATAGTATAACATTGTATCAATCGATGCTTTATCGTATTACGCAGGAAATCATTTCACTTTGCAATCTGTGCAATCAAGAACTTCTAAACCAATCATATCTCTTTCACATAAAGAAAAAGGCCGCCGCATTATCCCAAATAGAAACACATACCTACACACTTATGTCTGGTTCCAAAGAAAATAAAGGTACATTATATTATCATGAAAACAACTATGACTAATACATCACACGGTGTAATCATATACCACTCATTTTATATAACAAATAAAATTCATGTACAGATAAGGAAATTCTACCAAAGAAACATTGTCAAAGAACCACCCTACTGTACATCAACACACCGATCACGCCAAAAATGCAGGAGAAGGCAACCTGCACAACTGCTACCTTAGGATCATCTATTCTTGGTAAAAACGACAATATATCATCCCAACTATATAAAATAATAAACATAAGTCCAATTTCATAGTTTCAACTATACTTATACAACAAACATTATTTAGGTAAAGGAACTTGCTTCCATTGTTCAATGAGTTGGAATCTAGCAACGATGAAAAATCAAATGATCAAGCACCAACCATGAAGACTTCGGTCGCTCCACCAAAAGAATCCAAAAATAGTTGTTAAGGTTCTCTGCAACATCTTTTGTTTTGTACTACATCCAACTACTAAACTACCTACCTTTTTGTAATATTAGTATTGATGTGTACATACAAATAAATTTCAACATTTTGAATATCAATCGGCTACATATCTTTATCAAATTTCTTATTACTATAAATTCATAATTTTTATTGCGTTTTTGTTTTACAGATTATATTTCAAACAAATAATGTTTCACTACATTACATTATAGAATAGTCGCGTGGTATACTGCGCAAAAGCATGTTCTAGTATATATATATAAAGTAAACACACATGCATTTGATTACAATGTTATATATAAAATTTATATTTATTAAAAATATTAAGGTTCTATTTATTTTTTATTATACATTTCTTTATAGTTTTTAGAAAAATAAATTATTATTATTATTTTTAATAAATTATCACGTCTAAAGTGTCATTTAGATTAAACTAGATACAAACAAAAATGTTGGCGATATTTGAAATTTTCACCAATTTAAAATATCAAAGTTTATACAAATTGAATATAAGTTGAGAGTTTGTACTTTTTAAAAATTATAAACAAACTAAAATTTAACTGGTTAAGGCCTATTAATTTTATGAGTGTTATCTCAAATTCAAACTCGACTTATTAGACTAGTTGACAAACCAAGTTCAAATCAAGTTCAAGTTTTAACGAGTTAGATTTTGAGTAGCTCTAGTCATATTAATTTGTTGCCAATTTAAGAGTATTATTTTTATTAGTAATTTTATATAATTGTATGTCAATCTTAAAAATTATGGTTGTATCTAGAATGCAGATTAAGGCTAATGAATATTATGTTGACTAGTCTCGTAAGAGATGATAGAGTAGTGTGGGGTAAATATGTGACTGCGAGCGAGGTCCTAAGTTCAAATTTCCGATGCCTCCAAATCTACCTATCACAGATGGTTTACCTAATGTGACTTGACCTGTCGGTCCTAATTTACAGAGTATTAGGTTTCGGTACATAATATTATGTTGACTAGCTTTAATCGACACATAATAATAGTCATACTAAGGGTGTCAAAATTAAACTCAATCCGAAATATCGAACTTGTTCGACCTGAAAACTTTCAAGTTCAAGTGTTTCGAATTTGTAAAAAATTGAGTCAGACTAAGTCGAGTTTTGGTTTATATTAAAATTATTAATTATAAAAGTTAAAATGGTAAATAAATAATACATCTTTTATTGAATTTTTTAAGATAAATCTAAAAAACTGGTTTATATTAAAATTATTAATTATAAAAGTTAAAATGGTAAATAAATAATACATCTTTTATTGAATTTTTTTAGATAAATTTAAAATTTTTTAAATTTTCATGTTTGTTTTGTATTAGCTTCGTTTGGACTATGAGTGGCTTAAACAAATCAAATTGACTTAAACCTGATTCGAAAAGTTCTTATCATTTTCGAATCTGAAATATCGGATAGTGTTCAGGGTAACGGATCTTTTATTACATACATAGTTCAATCCAACACGAACACAGATTCGAAAATAAAAATTGACACCCCCTAAGTCATATAACACATGAAGTACATTATATAAATTCATAGCACATGATAAAATCCATACAACAAATACCACGCTTCATTTCAACACAATATGCATGTTGATATATCACAAATTGATAGTATAAACCAAAAACACGTAGTAGCAATTCCCATAGCACATAATGATTTAATTCAAATAATACGTTGAAAAGTAGCATTCATTTACTGACTAGATTTAATTAGCACGATGTTGATGGGCAACAATCATTCCTAAAATTTATATAGTATTTCACATTTTAAGGAAAATATAACACCTTAACTACTTAGAATACTTCAAAAAAAATTAAACTACAACAATAATAATTAAACACACACATATATATATATATATATACCACCATAGAAGTCCAGCATACCACCCAAAGTAGCAACAACATATCTCCCCTCCCCACCCCTCCCCTTCTTGTGCACACACAAGAATACAACAATCCACAAACTGCACATATGCAGAAACACAACAATCCAACAATCCAATCCCCACAGATACATACACATTATCTTGCCTCAGACAGCCAGACTGCAGATTCGGCTTAATCATTCCGTCTCCCAGTCTTGGCATAATTCGCAGAATGAAAAAAAAAAAAAAATCGGAAAAACTTACACAAGCGACTCCCAAGCAGCAGCTCAAATGGAAAATGGGCTCTCCGGGAGGTCTATGCCATTGAAACTGCAACACAAAAGGAACACATAAATTCGCATACGCATTCAGAAAATGCTGCTGCTATCTAGTTGATCAATCGATCGATGCAAATATCATGCTTGTCCAAAATGTGAATCAAAGTAAACATGTGAAGTTCGATTTGCATAATATAAAGTGTTTCTACCTCTGCAGTTCAGCGCTGTAGCCGGGATCGAACTGCGCTTCCCTGTTGCTGTAGCTGCTTGGCGTAGCTGCACAAGTTAAGAATCGAGAAAAATCCAGCTAGTTATATTTCAATTGGAGTGTAAGGAAATAGAATAAGTAATAATGGTGATATATATACAGAAAACATAGTAATCATCGATGTAAGGACCTTCCGGAAAGCCAGAGCTGCCCGAAGTCTGGCCAGCTGGGGGGCGACCCTGGCTCGATGAAGCACCAACGTGCTTCATCTTGTAGTCGCCCTGCAGTTCATGCTCCTTCCTGAGTGAACTGAGACTCACTACATACAACAGAGGAATGAATTGAACAAGTTAATCGGGTAGAGCAATGATTTAGTAAAAAATGAAAAAACCAAAAAAAAAAAAAAACATCGGAGCTAAAAATGAGTGTCGATAAAGTGAACATGAAGATCATAAGAGGTGCATTACAAGGAATGTACGGTTCGGCAGAAGCATGAAGCTGCACTTTCTGTTCCGGCTTTCTGCGCAGAAATAAATACGACAAGGAAAGACACACGTGAGAACATTACTTGTGATTTCTAGGAATTAAGAAAAGAGGTGACGTTCGAATGCAGACAAACAAATTTCCTTTTCACTCTGTTAGAGAAGCAACATTTTCAAGCTGGAAGATTAAAGAAATCAGTTGTAATTAAAGAGTTTCCAATAAGGACATTGCTTGTTCTTCATTAAATTATTCATTATCAGTAGAGGTGGTACAAGAACAAAAGCAAATCCTTCATCATAAGGAAGTTCGATCAAGCTTCTTATACATTTATATAAGCATGATCAAAATTCCTACAACATAATATTTGATGTTAAGGTTCTAATCTTGATGTAAAATATAACAAAGAAGCTCTCTGAGGTAACTAGAATACAGTTGACATGCCAACAGCCTAGTGGACTTTTTCGTCATGTCTGATGCCTAGCATTTAACAGGAAAAGAATAAAAGAGAGAAGTCATGCGAAAAAGCGACAAAACAAAAAAGTTCAACTAGCTTCAATGTTGCAAAATCTATGTTATGTGTAAGGCAATAAATAAACAAATGCAGCGAAAGGATCATTTATGTTTTGTCCTGAAATGGTCGTTTGGCAAGTGTGACGCAATCTTTTATACCTCTCAGGGAGCGACACTCGCTGGGAGGTATAAAGTCAACAAAAACAGCAAAAGTTCATGTAAGGCAATAAATAAACAAATGCAGCGAAAGAATCATTTATGTTTTGTCCTGAAATGGTCGTTTGGCAAGTGTGACGAAAGTCTTTTATACCTCTCAGGGAGCGTCACTCGCTGGGAGGTATAAAGTCAACAAAAACAGCAAAAGTTCAACTAGCTTCGATATTGCAAAATCCATGTTACGTGTAAGGCAATAAATAAACAAATGCAGCCAATGGATCATTTATGTTTTCCTCCTGAAAAGGTTGTTTGGCAAGTGTGACGAAAGTTTTTTATACCTCTCAGGGAGCGTGCACGTTGAGAGGTATAAAGTCGACAAAAACAAAAAAAGTTCAACTATCTCTGATATTGCAAAATCCATGTTGCATGTGAGGCAATAAACAAACAAATGCAGCCGATGCATCATTCATGTTTTTCTCCTGAAAAGGTCATTTGGCAAGTGTGACGAAATTTTTTTTATACCTCTCAGGGAGCTTTGCACGCTGAGAGGTATAAAGTCGAAAACAACAGCAAAAGTTCAACTAGCTTCAATATTGCAAAATCCATGTTGTGTGTCAGGCAATAAATAAACAAATGCAGCGAATCGATCATTTATGTTTTTGTCCTGAAAAGGTCGTTTGGCAAGTGCGACGAAAGCTTTTTATACCTCTCAGGGGGCGTCGCTCGCTTGTGCTGATATGGCTTGACCAGTACTTGTGCTCCACGTATAAGGTGAGGATTGGATTTTGACAGGACCAGAGCAGCTGTCTCCGGACATGCAAACGTGACAAATCCATACATCCTCTTCTCCTGGACAGGAATCCGAATTTCTTTGACAGGGCCGAAATGGCTGCGGTGAAACAAGAAGCTTGCGTCATAAAAAGAGACCGACAGTTAACATTTTTCAACTTGGTGACAGCATACAAGTTTCCATACCTGAAATAACTATGAACATCCTGCTCGGTAAAATCGCTTTGCGGGGGATACGTCAGATAAATCTGGTGGGAGCAAGCTCCGATTGGGTCCTGCTCTGTTGCTTCTTCAACAAATTTCAAGTACTTGGGAATGTCATCCTCCAAGATAATAGATTGCATGCCGTACGGCCTGTACAAATTTAACAAAGAACACAACCATCAGATTGTTATCTATGGAGGGTCACTGTAAAAAAGCTATAAATTTGCATATTGCACCTGTTGATCACACAAAAGCTCTTTGACATTTGAGCAAGAAAGTCGTTTGCGTCTCCAGTGAACCCTTGCGCCCGAGCTTCGGCTATATAAGGTTCCAGCTGAAGGACCTTCTCATACCTATCGAAGTATATAAATGGCAAAGACAAGATAGTAACAGGAATCCCTCTTCTAGATTTCAGAATGTCAATGAAATCTATCTCAAGCTGTCTAAGGTCTCCATGGGGCAAGTTAGGGTTGCTACTCAGCGCCTTTTCATCTATAGGGGTGTTCAGAACCATATAATAACCACTTTCGGTTCTAATGACATGCAAGTCTTTGCAGTCACCACCATACTCGCAATATCCACTTTGGAAGCTTTCACAAATCTTCAAGTCTATCTCAGGTGTGTCTGGACAGGAAGGAGATGCGGTTGGAGCCTTTTGATTGACAGTTTGATGTAAAGCAAGATCAGGATTGTAGCTCTGCGGAGGGCCATATGTACCAGCTAAATTGAGAGATCCTAACTGATCTTCCAAAGGAGGTAACTGAGGTTGCTTCAGAACACCGAATCCTGTGGCTGCCGGATTTACAGCTACTGGATTTACAAAGCCTGGTGTAGGAAAAAATGGAGCATTAGGCATTAATTGCTGGGCATGAGGGATTTGGGGAATCCACTGGGCATTGTTGGCTGGAAGAGGAGCCAGTGCAGGTAGACGGGATGAAGCAGGTACAAAAGGAGTGAAGTTAGTAGGAAGGTTTGAGGCAGGACGTGAGGGTTGTGAAGAGGAAGCATGAGATGAGGAAACTGACTTCAGGGCAATTCCAAGTTCATGCTTAAGCTGATCGATCAGGTTCTGGATCATAAAATCCGGACCAAAGGCCAGCCTAATCATTTCTAGTTCTCCTTGATCCTTGAACAGGAGATACCCCATGAGCTTGGAAACATTTTCAGGGTCGAATTTCTGAATTCTCTGAAACACAATCTTCGTGGATTCCGAGTATTCCATCTTTGAATTCAACCTAATCACCAAACAGAAAAACTATGCTGATCAGATACAGATGTAATAAAAGAATAGAACAAACCAACAACAATCTCATAGATTGTAATAATTAATTATATCTACCAAAGTAAAAAACTGAAATATGGTTGGGATCAAACAAAGTTACAAAAGAAGGATCATTGAAACAACTCAAGAAACACAACATGAAGAAACATGATGGAGTTTTAGCAGACTTCATTCACTATACTTCGTGTAGAGAAACATTTAGATCATAGGGAATTCATTACTTCCATAAAAATTTACTATTGCAGATCCCTGTCCCCAAATTTCCATCAAGCTTTTCCATTTTTATTTATATTAATATTTTTAAAATAATCCATTTCATCACAATCAAGCTTCACAAACAACAGAAAGCAAATTCTACACAATTCACCAAAACCAACAAAGGCACAAAAGAGAATCAATCATCCCACCACCGCACAAGGTGAAGCTCAAAAGCTTCTAAACCAAGGAAAAATCAACAACATGCAAAAAATCAAAGCACACACAAAATACTTCAATCTCGTCTGCATGAACTATTCACCGAAATGAAATCAAACGAACAACTACTATTACTTACTGAACAATTTCCAGAATTACTCAACCAAAACCTGCTGCAGATAGTAGCGACTTGGAGAAAAAGAGAAGCTAGACTCTTACTTCAGTCTGGACTCCGGTGGAACTGCAGGCACCCGTCTCTGAGTATGCGTGAGCATTTGGTGGGTATAAATGCGCGATTTCTCCGAAAACAGACAACATTGCTCACGATATCGGAGAGAAAACGGACACTGGAAATCCAATTGTCGTTTGCTCTAATTGCAACCCTATTTTCAGCCTTCGCCACGACTCCAATGCACCTATACATACAACATGCATACAAATTCACGCACCGATTGAAACCGTAAATCAATTTTCCGCTGCCATAAACAAAAAGAAATTATTGAAAAGAAAAAAGCACCTCTGAACCATGCGATCATCAATTTTGTTTTTTCTCGCTTCCGCATTCGCCCGATCCATCTCGTTGCTTCGGAGTAGATTTTTCGCAAGGGCATATTCATATGGAACTCGGAGTGTAATTCAAAAAATCTCCGTATTTATATTTATATGTATATAAATAATATTACGTATACTGCTGTGGCTATCCTCCGTAGGTCCATGGAGTCCAAAACCGGGTGTTGAAGTCCCAGGATCTTTTAAGTCTAGAGATGATGGCATAAGGAGACGGGAGTAGAAGACCAGCAGAACCGCACCTAAATGAGTTAGTTAGGGAAATGCAGAGAAGAAGAGACAAATCCCACCTCTTCCACCTTGACCTGGTGGGCCCCATAAATTAAATACATATATTAATAAGATGGGGCCCACCAAATGACATATCACACACCCGCATGGGTGTGTGTGTGTAGGTGTATTGATAGCTCGCATTTACATCGCCCATCATGTATTTTGTATCGTACCTCTTCTCTTCACTGCATGCATGCCATTTGTCAAAAAAATTAGTTGCATGATTTTATAAGAAAAATAAATAAATAAAATTTTTTGTCACAATAAAATATTATTTATAATAAATTAACGTTTTTGTTTCGATATATATATATATATATATGATTAATCTATTTTCGCATTATGTAGTATAAATTTTTTCTAACAACAACAAAAAAAAAATTCTATTTATTTTGTTATTATGTAATCGCTATATATTATAAATACTCTCAAATTACACTTATTAAATCAATATCGTTACATCAATATCTTAAATATATGGAAAGAAAATTACACACAAAAAATATCTATAAACGTATTTATTTAAGTTTCCATAAAAAATAATGGTTTGAGTAAACGGAAGAAGTATCACAAATTAATAATGTGTGTTTACTTATATGTAAACTTTGATAATTTTATTTCAAAATTATTTTACATTATTTATATATATATATATAAAAGAATTGGATGATTATATTTGAAAATATTCGATTTAATTCTTTTTATATAATATCATATTCAATGTTTATTTATATTCAATTTTAATATAATCAAAACAATTCTACAACATATGTTGGTGCGATTTTTATTTTGAATAGAAAATTTTTTAAATTAAAATAATAATTTGATGTGATAAATACGTAATGATGTTTTGTTTTGTATATAAAAATAAAAATTAATATAATATAATAAATAAAAAATAGATATTTGATTTGATATTTTTTTAATAACAATTTTGAATAAAATGTTTTTCATTTTTAATCTCTTTCTTCAATTTGCAAATTCACACTCTAATTCTCAACCTAGATCCTCTTTGTTATTTAATATCCAATTTTTAAGGAATTATTATTTAGCCTCAAAGGACCTTTCTGCAATTTTTAAAAAGATTCTTTTCACAAAATACATCCACTTTTCTTAGATGTGATCACACATTCTTCTCTTTTCGTCATAAACTTCTACTCAATACAACAATTGTGATTTCCTTAAGATCGTCTGTATTCTACCTCTTTTGCTACGAAATACTCCCTCCGTCCCGCATAATTTGTTCCTATTTTCTATTTTCGTCCGTCCCACATAACTTGTCCTTTCTATTTTTGAAAATATAATTATGCACTTTAATCGCATTTTAAATTTTATAAATTTTTTAATTTTAATTAAACTATTTACTTATCTTAATCTTAATCTATAATTATTTTTACTAATATACTTCTTAATTACTTACTAATTATACTTTACCTAAATTCCCGTGTCTACAGTAATACGCCCATATTATATGGGACGGAGGGAGTATTGTTTAAGAATCGCCAACTCGATGAAATCTATTTATACATCTAAAAACTATCAATTAAGAGCATATAAACATAAGTTTTCATAAAAAGATAACATCTACTATAGCAAAATATTCACATAATATATCTTATATCAATACTAAATGAAATCGACAGATATTGGTCGATTTGCGATCCTCGGTAATTACCCAACCAAATTTTTATCCTGATTTTGCGCAAACTTAAATGCACGATTTAGGAGTGATGATGAAATCATGATAGGTAGAAGGTGATTATGTGTGTTCGGTTGTTTTACTATTCATCTCATTTTTTCTCCCCAAAAACATCAAATCAAATACCTATTTTTTACTTTTTATATTATACTAAAAATAAATTTTACATTCAAAAAATCACATCAACACCTATTTATATCACATCATACAACTATTCAAATTCAAAATTTTTACTATTGAAATCTCAACTCAAAATCCAAATCCCAAAACAAACACACCCTTAAATGAAAAAAATATTGAATATATTTCATATTAGAGAAAATATTGAGACTTATCTAATTTATAAGGTGAAAATTACTCCATTTCATACAAATTGATTTTAAATTGGAATTTTAAAACTTTTTTTTTTTTTTTTAATGTGGTATTAGAATCGGGCTGTCCATATTGAGTATTGAGTTTGTTCTACTGTACTTAATACCAAATAGTTTAAATTTATAAGAACATCAGTTACAATTATCTTTTTCATTGTCTTTTTCATTACATTCTTAGTTTTATTATAACAAGATGTGTTACATCTGTTAGGAAATACAGTTAATATTAATTTATTACTTTTATTAAGAACTCGTTACTTTTATAAAAATAATAAATAAATAATTATTTAATTAATTATAACTTAAAATTTAAATTTTAAAATTTTAAATTATTAATATTTATCCGTAGAAATACAAATTCAAATTTATTTCAAAAGATCACCACTTACCTACATATTTTTTAATAAAATTTCTTATATATCCAATTTTAACATTGAAAATTTGTATATTCGATCTTTCTTCAACTAAGTCTTTAACAAAACTATCGAAAACAAAAAATTATTCGAACAATATATTAATCCGAGTTTATTTCAATCATTCAGATTTTTAAATGCCATTAATTTAAAAAATTTAAATATTTCATAATATAAAACTTATATAATATTATTATAGTTTATATAAATTAATATATTTAAAATAATATATAATATTACATAATAAATAGTATTATTTATATATTATTAGATAATAAAAATATATAAAAATAAATAATTATAATCAATTTTATAAAATTGTAAAGGTAATAGGTAAAAATAATGATACTATAACTAATATTCAAAAAAGTAATTTGAATAATGACGTACATATGATGTAGATGAAAAATATAAAAAGGTAATACAGTAGAAATATTTACTGCAACAAATGCTCTAACTCGAAAATACTTCTTAATAAAAAAAATAAATAAGTAGAGCAATGTTATTTATCTTAAATGATTTTTGTGAAATTAAAAATTGTCCGTTTATAAGAATAATTAACGGAATTTTGAAGAATATATTTATTTTAAATGATTTTTGTGAAATTAAAAATGGTCCGTTTATAAAAATAATTAACGAATTTTGAAGAATATATTTTTTATTTTTATATGAAATATCAAAAATTATTTAATTAATAAAAATAATAAAAATATTATATATTATTTTTTTTAAAAGAAAATTTATTATATATTTATTACAAAAATAACACACCAAAATGTATCACTGACAACAATTTTAATTTAGAAAAAAAAGATAATAATAATCCCCAAATCGAAGGGAGGCTTCGTCCCTTCTATAAAGTCGTTCCGACGTTTTCTGCTCGCCGGCGAGTCTCCGCCACCGTCACCACCAGCTCTACTTACATCTCCGTCATCCATCGTCTACGCCTAGATCCGCGTAGTATATGTATTCGACGAATCTTTTGTTGCAATTCGATTCTTCTTTGACGGGATTTATATTTCAGTGGATACAAACTATCAGGAGTGATGTATCAGTGGAGGAAATTCGATTTCTTCGAGGAGAAGAAATCGAAAATTCCGGAGGAGATAGAGGGCGAAATCCAGTGCTGTTCCAGCGGTAGAGGCAAGATCGTTCTTGGTACCCAAGACGGCGGGGTTTCGGTGCTTGATCGTGGCCTCCAGCTTCAATACTCCTTCGCTGCTCACTCCTCCTCCGTACTCTTCCTCCAGCAGCTCAAGGTATAGCTTCTCCTTGATATATGCATGCTGCGCTGAATGATTACGACGAATATGATCTTGGGGCTTATCCTGGTCAGCTTGGAAATTTGGGGGGAAAAGGATTAATAGCGTTGAATTTTTGTGTTTTTGTGTGTGTGTGTGTGTGTGTGTGTTTTTTTTTTTGAATTGGCGAATCCTAATTCACATTTGATTTGGCTCCTTGGATAGTTTTATGTGTGTTAATGTGCAACTAATGATAATCTGATAGATCGTTTTGCTGTAATTAGTCATGACATGAATGGCTTTATGATGAACAAAAAGAGGTTTATTTGGTATGTTCATAGCATTGTTTCTCATTCATATCCATGCTGGTGAATCAATCAGCAAAGAAACTTTTTAGTGACGGTTGGAGAGGATGAGCAAATGCCTCCACAGCAAGCTGCTATGTGTTTAAAGGTTTTCGATCTTGATAAAAAGCTGGAAGAGGGATCAAGTGCATCAACCCCAACCCCGGAGTGCGTTCAAATTTTGAGGATATTCACAAACCAATTTCCTGAAGCAAAGGTATTTGATTATTCTTAGCTTTAGCATTTAATAGTCATGTAATTGCACAACGATGCTGTTTGTTTCAATTGGTTTCGAACTAATTTGATTTGATTGCTTTTGGAAAATGTAATGATTGTTCTACAGATCACTTCTTTTTTAGTTTTCGAAGAAGCACCGCCAATTATATTTGTTGCCCTTGGTCTGGAGAATGGTTGTATTTATTGCATTCAAGGCGACATTGCCCGGGAGCGTATCAAGCGCTTCAAGCTTGAGGTTAATGCCAGTCAGTCTGGAAAAATGAATTCAGCAGTTTTGGGTCTTGGTTTCCGGGTGGATGGTCAAGGATTTCAACTTTTTTCTGTCACTCCAAGTTCTGTAAGCTTGTTCGATTTGCGGAGTCAAATACCTAAGAGGCAAACACTTGATGAGATTGGTTCAGAGACTGCTAGTGTAGCCATGAGTGACCACTCGGTACGTAGATTCTCTTTACACATGTCCTTGTAATTGTTAATGTTGTGTTTTTATGATGGTGTTGGATCTTTGTTTTTGGATCAGGAACTGATCATTGGTCGACCTGAAGCTGTCTATTTCTATGAGGTTGATGGTCGAGGCCCTTGTTGGGCCTTTGAGGGATTGAAAAAGCTTCTTGGCTGGTTTCGAGGTTACCTTTTATGTGTTTCTGCTGATCAAAGAACTGGGAAGAATACGTTCAACATTTATGACCTGAAGAACCGTTTAATAGCTCATAGTATAGCCGTTAAAGAAGTTTCTCACATGCTCAGTGAATGGGGTAATATAGTCCTCATAATGGCAGACAAGACTGTCCTTTTGGTTGTGGAGAAGGATATGGAAAGCAAGTTAGATATGCTTTTCAAGAAAAATCTATATACAGTGGCTATTAATATTGTCCAGAGCCAGAAAGCTGATGCTGCGGCCATTGCTGATGTTCTACGGAAATACGGCGATCATTTATACAGCAAGCAAGAGTATGATGAAGCGATGGCTCAGTATATCCATACCATTGGGCATCTGGAACCTTCATATGTCATACAGAAGTTTTTGGATGCACAGAGAATCTACAACTTAACAAATTACCTCGAAAATTTACATGAGAAGGGGCTTGCATCCAAAGATCACACCACTCTTTTGCTGAACTGTTACACGAAGCAAAAAGATGTAGAAAAGTTGAATTTGTTCATTAAAAATGAGGATGGGGTTGGGGAACTGAAATTCGATGTGGAAACTGCAATTAGGGTATGTAGAGCTGCCAATTACCATGAGCATGCAATGTATGTTGCCAAGAAGTCTGGGAGACACGAATTGCACTTGAAGATTTTGCTCGAGGACTTAGGTATGTATGATGAAGCACTACACTATATTAACGGTCTTGAGCCAAGTCAAGCTGGGGCAACTGTTAAAGAGTATGGGAAAATCCTTATAGAGCACAAGCCCAAGGAAACAATTCAAATACTGATGAGACTTTGTACTGAAGGAGAACAGTCCAGGAGAGGATCCTTTTTATCCATGCTACCGTCTCCTGTCGATTTTCTCAATATTTTTGTGCATCATCCACAGTGGCTTCTGGAGTTTCTCGAACAATACATTGAGAAAGTGAAGGATTCACCTGCTCAAGTCGAAATCAATAACACACTATTAGAGTTGTACCTCTCTCACAACCTAGAATTTCCTTCTCTTTCACAAACTGGAAACATTGAAAATGGTGGTGCTAGGACAGATAGATCATCCCATACTGCTGCATTGGCCAGACCAGAATCTAATGGAAAAGTAACTTCTGACGAAACAAATGAGGAGAAACATCGCCAGGAGAGACGTCGAAAGGGGCTACTCTTGCTTGAAGGTGCATGGCCTTCTGATCAGGAGCAGCCGTTGTACGATGTTGATCTTGCCATAATTTTGTGTGAAATGAACTCTTTTAATGAAGGGCTCTTGTTTTTGTACGAGAAGTTGAAGCTGTACAAGGATGTGATTGCTTGCTATATGCATGCACATGACCATGAGGGTTTAATTGCATGCTGCAAGAGACTTGGGGATTCGGGGAAAGGTGGGGACCCTACACTTTGGGCAGATCTATTGAAGTACTTTGGTGAACTCGGAGAAGATTGCTCCAAAGAAGTTAAAGAAGTTTTAACTTACATAGAGAGGGATGACATCTTGCCTCCAATTATAGTTCTTCAAATCTTGTCAAGAAATCCATGCCTTACACTTTCGGTAATTAAAGATTATATAGCCCGGAAGCTGGAACAGGAGTCAAAGCTGATCGAGTCGGATCGATTGGCTATTGAAAAGTATCAGGTTGTTGTTTATGCATCTCTATGTGTCATTATTCTCTTGGTTAATTCGTTTCTTACAATTGCCTAAGTTTTAGATAATATATGATGGTTGTTTCATTTATTGATGGTCTTACAGATGTCATGTCTAAGTGAATTATTTGTTCCCCCAAATTATACTTGTTAAGGTCATTACTTTTGTTTCAATTTCAAGATTAACGAACAACTCAGCAATAAGTTGTGGATGATTACATATAAGTGAGACTGCTGAGTCTTTCTAGGAAAGTCATTTTTTGTGTTTTTTTTTATTTTTGTTCTTGATTTGGTCCCGTGTCAGGAAAGGATCACTTACATGGACCAATATGTATTTGTAAATGATATGGTAGGGTTTAGGTCGACAAAATGCCTAGATGCATTGGTGATTGCATGTCGGTTTCACTAGTATTTCCTTGTAGGCTATATTCATACACGCTGCTTAAGTTGCTTCGACTCGTTGCCATAAAATCCTAACAGAACATTTTCTAATCCAAACTGGTTAGTTATGATTTTCCTTTACTTGCAGCATTTTTGTTTGTGTTCTTTGCTGTCGTGTTTTCTTAAGTTTCTTCAACTAATCCTGCCAAGTTTGTATAGCACATTCGGTTAATCCAACTGGAATTTTACTTGCAGCTTTATTTTCCTTATTCTATGTTGTTCCTTAAACTTCTGTACTAAGCATTTCTTAATTTGAACTGGGATGTAAACTTTTACAATTTCTGTTGCAGGAGGAAACGTCAAACATGAGAAAAGAAATCCAAGATCTTCGAACAAATGCAAGGATCTTCCAGCTTAGCAAGTGCACCGCCTGCACATTTACTCTCGACCTTCCTGCTGTCCACTTCATGTGCATGCATTCGTTCCACCAACGATGCCTTGGTGACAACGAAAAAGAATGCCCCGAGTGTGCACCCGATTACAGAGCAGTACTAGAAATGAAGAGAAATCTTGAGCAGAATTCCAAAAACCAAGACCACTTCTTCCAGAAAGTCAAGAATTCGAAAGATGGCTTCTCGGTAGTTGCTGAGTATTTCGGTAAGGGCATCATCAGCAAAACAAAGAAGCCTCCGGAAACTCAGACAACAACCAATGATTATTCCAGCGAAAACTTTTGACGATATCCCTCTCATTTGTCAAATATTTCTCTCTTGTGATGAACATACAACACAAATCCGGAGTCACTGCGAGCTCATTCTTGTTGAAGAGTTCTGTGGAAGGTTCGTCTCTACAGGTTCGTGATTTCTATCCGTGTGCTGTAGTTTTCCTTGCTTGATATCACGTGTTTATGTTTATGTGCTTTCATTATTTCTGTTTTCTTTTTGTTTCCGGTAGAATCATTCCAACTTTTTGATTATTTGCTTGGATTGTTTTGAGTGAACATGCAATGGTTTTCAATGCGGGTTGATCGATCCATCGACCTGTCTATTTATATGAACTCTGCATGAAATCCAAACTGCCTTTGAAGCAGAGTTCAAGATGCGAGAGCATATTTTGAACTGTGGCTGAATTCCATTTTGGTACATGTTTGAAAGGTTCGTTGTAGAACACCTAGAAGGTCAAGGTGTCTAATTTTGAATACTTGCTCTTGACTCGACTGGTTTGTTTTGTATTTTGATTTTGGCTGCGGTTAGAGTGCTTCGGATTGGTTTTTAATAAGCACATGAAATATAAATTGATAGTACACAACGATAGGGATAGCAAGTATATGAAATAAATTGAGCATATAAATTGACAATACATGATAATAGTCCACTCGATACATATTATGATTGGTTTCAGTTTGTGTTATATGAACTATTGTCGTGTATTGTCGGTACATACATCAAGTCTTGTAGGTGTATACTTAATGTATTGATTCGGATAATAAGCTCTAACCATTCCCATTTATTTTTGTTGTATGTTTTTATTGCAAATGGAGCTAGAAAAGTTGGGGAAAAACTAATGTTCGAAGGATTTGTAAAGATTTCTACTATTCATCCAATTTTTTCCCTCCAAAAATATCAAATCAAACCCCTATTATTTATTTTCTATATTATACTAAAAATCAATTTTACATTGAAAACATCACATCAACACCTATTTATATCACATCATATAACTATTCAAATTCAAAATTTTTACTATTCAAATCCTAACTCAAAATCCAAACCCCCAAACAAACACACCCTAAAAAGATATATATATATATATATACACACGGTTACTGTGTGCTTGAATTTTGAATTAGAATAATTGTATGATGTGATATAATTAAGTATTGATGTGATGTTTTGAATCTAAAATTGATTTTTAGTATAATATAAAAAATGGAAAATATGTGTTTGATTTGATATTTTTTTTAAAAAATTTTTGTAGGAATAATAGAAATTTTCCAAAATCCTCCAAACAAACACAAGTTAATCCAATGGTTGACGCCGGCTGTTGTCGGGTGGGTTGTCGGGTATAGATTTTGCCCCGGTCAGTAAATTTACTCGGGCTTGATCCATGATCGAGCTACACCAGCGAATTAGTTTGATCGGGCTTGACCCATCACCAAATATGCTAATAAATAAAGGGAAAATTTATTTTGATTTCATTGTGAAATCGTATTAATCATACGAGACAAACAAGACTTGGAGTCGCTAGTTTGAATTTATGATTTGACAGTTATAATTTCCTTCATACAATCAGGTTATTCTCTACGGGCTTGGTTTAGATATTTTGTTATATTCATCATACATAGACCAAGCTTTGCATAGGGTGTCTTTATTTTGTAAAATATGATTATAATATATGTATTATTTTAATGGATTATATAATCATATGATAAAATAATTCTATGTTTACTTTAATGAATTATTGTATAAGATTATAAATTTGATCTAAAATACCTTTAATTATATAATACAATTAATACTAAATTGACTATTAATAAAATAAAATAATTTTTTAACCACTAATACAATCTTTTATTATTTAATCCTATGTAAAGGAGGATGATTAATAATATTTAATCATGCTACTATTATTCGGGTTTTAGACTAATAATTGATAGTAAACATGTGATTAATACGCACCCATATAATTGTTATCGCTGAAAATTTGTCAATGACAACCGAAGAAATTGGGTTTTTCGAAATCGATATAAATTGGATCCCCACCCTACTCAAGAAAGCATCCTGCTAATCTCGCACGAAAATTAACGTCAAAGATTAATTAAATTACTAGGCTAAAGAAAAAATGCAAATAATAATAATAATAATAATAATAATAATAATAATAATAATGAACTTAGGATGTGATTTATAAATTCAAAATAACAAGATTTTTGGAACAATAATCGGAGAAATAAGATCTGAAAATAAATGATCGGGTGTGTTTGTTTGAGGGTTTGGATTTTGAGTTGGGATTTGAATAGTAAAAATTTTGAATTTGAATAGTTGTATGATGTGATATAAATAGGTGTTGATGTGATGTTTTGAATGTAAAATTGATTTTTAGTATAATATAAAAAATGAAAAATAGGTGTTTGATTTGATGTTTTTGGGGGGGAAAAAATGGGATGAATAGTAAAAATCCAAACAAATCCCTCAAACAAACACATCCGATGAATAAACCTATATTTTTTTTAGGTCGGTTCCTATCTCTCCCTTAATTCTTGCATTTTTCTTTTAGGAAAAAATTTTCTCACCTTCCTCGTTCTTTCTTTATCCGAACGGAGTCAGACACTCCCCTGAGCTAACCCACTCTCAAGTTGTATGGATCTCTTGGTGGGCCCCCGGTTTGGATTGATTTTAGGCTATTTCTTCTCTGGGGCCCGAACTCAAGCTACTGGATCTTTTGGCGGGCTTTCGGTTTGGATTGGTTCTGGGCTACCTCGTCTTCGGGTTAGGCCAACAGTGACCTTATAAGCCTAAGTTTATTCGGGGATAACAAATATCTCTAAAAAGTTATTTTGGACAAAAGTGACTTTTGTAATTCAAAATTATTTTTGTTGGATCGAGAATTTTTTTTTCAAACAAACATTACTGCGCGCGATCCCGAAGAAAGTTTGAAAGAAATCTTCAACTGACTTCACACGCTATTTCCGGTTCCTTGATCTTTTCTGGTAAGAGAAAACAAAAATCCATCCTCATACCTTTGGTGAAAGAACACTCAAAGTTCCCTAAACCTCTCTCAAATCCGCCGAACCCTAAGCCCTTCGATTCACCATCGTTAGCTCCAGTTTCTGATTCTCTTCTCCACAATCGACACCGTTGCTTATTGCTATTGCGATTGAGGTGTTCCTTCGTCAAAATCGCGTGCTGCTGAAGGTTCTTCCAAGATGCCACCCCGTTCGTCAGCCACTAGGATGATGAAAGAACGGCTCCCATCCGCGGCTCTACCGAAGCGTTTGCCAGCCGTCTCGTCTGGGCTTTCGAAAGTTGACGGCCATTGGGTCCTTAGCCCCTTCTCCGAAGATGATGATCTTGCTTTCGTCATTTTGACCGAGGTCTTCAGTCGAGGTAACATTTGTCTTTTTCAATCTTGGCTGAAGTTTTCACTCATTCCTTCTTTTTTAACGCGTTTGCTAAGTCCGGATGATCGGAGAACTTGGAGTTCTTGGGTAGATAGACTTGAACCCTGTTTTGGTGATATGTGGGAATCTTGGGGCATTAAGGATATGTTATTTTTTAGTAAAACGATCTTTTCCCAGACTAGTGATCTAGTGAAGGTCTTGCTTGGTTTTTGGAGTTTCTATATAAACGTCTTTGTCGTTCTGTTTGGTATTCTGACTTTAACCATAGTAGATGTGGCAGTTATTCTTGGCCTGCCTGTGGATAGGATTGAACCTTTTTTTTCCACTTTTTATAGATTCTTTAGCATTACCCTCAACATATGATAGCAACATTAAAATGTCCGATTTTTTACAAGCTAATTGCATTTCAGGTTTTCTCAGTCCGGAGGAAAATATTGTCCTTTTATTCTTTTGGTTTAACAGGTTCTTCGCCTGTTTTGCTTTGAAAGGTTTCTTTCGGAAAGCCGAGCCCGTCATCAATGCCCTCATTTCCGGTAGCTCTCTTGATCTAGCATCGTATTTTATGAGTTTTCTATACCATAGTATCAACGTCCTCACTAAATTAGCCAACTCGATTGCTCGTGACATCCAAGGTATCGGTCTCCTATGGTTTTTAAAGTTTTGGGCTCACCTATACTTTACCCATCTTGCCAATTCCACTTTAGATTTTTCCCGTATTCCTCGAGGAACTTGCATAGGTTTTGCATTATCTGCTTATCCTCTTCCGAGGGGAATGTACCTGGGCTCGTATCTAGGGGTGACAAAAATAAGCACGGCCCAAAAGCTCGGTCCGAGCACGGCACGAATGCCCGGTCCGAGCACGGTACGAAAAAAACTGTGCTTGGACATCCAAAATCAGGCCCGATAATTTTCAGGTTGTGCCTGGCCCGGCACGCTAATGAATAGGTCCGTGCCCGGGCTCATGAAGTTCGGGCCGTGCCTGGCCCGACACAATTTTTAAAATTAATATATAATTTTTAATATATATATATATTAATGTTTGAAATAAAGACAAAAATCATAACATGGTTTAATGGTAAAGGTCTTAGTTGGGAAGGACGAGTTTTGTTTCCCTCTTCAGAGCTGGATCTCTGGAGCTATCAATTCTCTCGGCAAGAAACCAATGGTGTTAACCTGAAAATCTTTTTCATGTAACGCCCGTTCCAGACCCTAGTCACTCGCGATGATATCTAAACTCGCAATTGACGTCTTATCATTTTCCAATGCCTCAATGATCGACTCGCCATCCGGGATAGACACCGTTGGTGCATCCGGATAAAGTTGTTGTCCACAGTTATCTCTGTCCTCTAGTACAATATGTTTTGGTCTCCATTCTCTTCGTCTTCTTCTCTGGGGTGGCAATTCCTCCACCTATGGTGTTTATTCGTTAATAATAAATTTCTCCTGCTCCTCTGAGGGCTGATCGTGTTGTTGTTCCTGTTCTGCAAGGCGTACAACTTGGATTTGACGCTGCCGTCTTCGCCACTGGGTTCTAGTCAATAGTAAAGTCCTCATCCTTCGGTTATCTACCCAGATCTCATCCTCCGATGGCCTCTCCGGTCATCGCATACTATGGGGAGTTATTATCATTTGGTCGGCTGAGGTCATTCACCATACTTCTTCATCCTTTTCGAAGCTAACATCAGCGATGGTATTATACGGCAAGAGGCGATCACACACCTAATCTCTCCGTCGGGACTTTATCGACCTTCCAAGCCGATCAAAGACACTTCTCTTTGGCGCGGTCTTCTTCTCCTACCAGGTCGGACGTCGATAGCATTAACTTGAGCTTAGGGGTGGGCACGGTTTGGGTATTTGAAAATATGCAGCTAGTTGATATCCGAACCGAACCAAACCGAACTGAACAAATATCTGAAATCGCGAACCATATCCGAACCGAAAATTTATGTTAATCGAAAATATTTGAACCGAACCAAAATTAATGTATATTAAAAAATAATTAAAATTCTAATTAAATAAAAATATTTGTAAATATTCCAAATATTTGAACCGAAACAAAATCGAAACCGAACCGAATATAATTATTAATATAAATTTTAAAATATAATAATATAAATATATAAATGTATTCGATTCGGTTAACCAAATTGAAAAAATATCAAAAATTGAAATCGAACTGAACCCAACAACTATCAAATATGCAGTATTTGTATTCGAATCGAATTTGCTCGGTTAATCAAAAATTCGATTCCGTTTAGTGTTTCGGCGATTCAGTTCGGTTCTTTTGCTCACCCCTAATTGAGCCTAGAATGGCTCCGTATCGATCTTCATCTCTGGCTTATCGGCCAGCCTTAAGTAGCCATCATTGATAACTTTCTGCACCATGTTCCTAAAAGCAATACAACTCTTGACTTAGTGTCCGTACAAGTCGTGCCACTTGCAACAGGATTTCCTGGCTAATTCCTCTTCGGATGGCATTTTATGGCTTTTTTTGAACCGGAGCTAATTAGTCTTTAACAAGAAATCAAATATCTGCTCAGTTTTAGATATATCGAAAGTATATTGTACCTTGAGATTAGTCTCATTCCTTCAAGGTACTTTGAGCGCTGGATAGGTATAAGATTTTCCTTGCGAGATCTTGGCCAGGAACATCTTCTCTGGCTCGTCCAGGTATTTTGGTTCGTTATCTTGGACTTGAATGCGGTGTGCCCCATTTCTAAATTTCTGATGTCTAGCTACCTGGGAGTCCTGGAGGAGTTATTATACTTTTACTGCCTTACCGGCGAGCTGGCAGAGATAATTGTAATTTTGGAGGGCCAACTTTTCTCAGAGCTGGTGAGTCATGTTATCAATGGCCATGTTGACCACTTGATTTTCGGGGATTCGGACTTGGTAACGCCCTTCCGCCCTACGAAACCTCTATAGGAATTGCTCCACCAATTCGTCATGTTTATGCTGTAGGTTGGTCAAATATGATACAGTCACCTCTGGCAGCGGACTATAAAAGCGCTTACGGAACGCTCTTTCGAGGTCCGCCCATGTATTGAACGAGTTTGGCAACAAAGATGCATACCACGTTAGTGCCGACCCTATAAAAGACATTGAAAAAACCTGGAGTTTGAACCACTCGTTGTTTCCAAACTCTCCTCCACATTGTGCCATGAAATGGCTGACATGCTTGATGGTAGACCGTGAATCGTCTTCCGAGAATGATGTGAACTCTGGAATACGGCAGTCCGGGAAAGAGGTGGTCAATGGAAACCTGATCCGGGAATAACCATTGATAATGCGGTCTGACAGGCAAATGGATGGGATCGCCATACAATCTTTGGATCACCTCCTCGATCGTTTGTTGGTTAGTGATAGGTTGCAGCGGGGGAGCGGCCTCGACATGTCCTCCCTACTACTGTCTCGGACCTGGCTTACCACAAGAGAAGGGCTGTTGATATCCTTGTGGGACATATGCCTGAGGAAAAGGATGTGCTCGATTCTCTTCGACTAGCCTCTTAGCAGCATTGCCACCGGAAGGGTTATATTCTTGAATTGGATTTGAGGGCCTTGATGTGGGAATCGATATCCCCATGGTTGTCCAGCCGATCCAACGAATGTGGTCTCCTGATATCCTGCCTGCCCCCCAGACGGTGGTGGCGCAGTCGAGATTGGTAAACTTGAACCCCATGCAACCGCCACAGCTGACGGAGCTGAACCCCATGGGCCTAGAGGAGGTTGAGCTGCCCCCAGTGTGCATTTGAGGGTGGGGCAGATGCCTCCCAAGTGATTCCGGGTGCTGGTGACACGAATAGAGGTGCCGAGGCCATTGTCAGCTATGCCCCCCAAGTGTCGGTGGTCCCTCATCCGACAGGGATATTCCATTGGCCTTTCATCTCTGCGGGTGATGTCGGCACACTTATTCCGCAGAATAGAGGATTGTTATGTCATTATTGATGAGTAGGTAATGCACACCCGCTGCCTCCCGAAATTCCCTGATGTGGGGGCGGCCTCACGATGGCGTGCTTTGAGGACCGCCCAGGTCCTTCAACCACTACCTCGTCCGGAAGACCCTTGTCTCTGGTTCCCTTGCCTAGTATGGTCACGTTGCCATACTAGAGTAGCATTGGCGGCTGCCCGGACGTACCCTCTTGTGATACTTTCGCCGGAGGGGCGTTTTCATTATTCTCTGAGCTGACCACTGGTGCTTTGCCCTTGCGTGTTTATTCTTCCCTGTGCCCATGTAATATCGTTTCGGATGGTTGGCTTAAGGATGTCGATGAGATACTAAGAGTGTGTTAAAGCCGATTCATAAGGGCTGCTTGGATTTCCCCACGAATCTAATCTTGAAAAACACTGACAGAATAGTCACCATCCTTTCTCCATGTCCCGGAGCAGCGAATGATTCATCCTGCGTGATTTCTCCGGATACGTGTGGCGCTGAAGTTTCACCGACAGTTCCTTTCTCCTTTGACATTGTGGTTTTTTCTGGCGTTGGTAACTTGCCATTCATGAGCTGCATAGAAGTGCGAGATTTCATCGGAGTCCTACTAGGCGTGGCAAACTGTTGTCGCTGAAATTTTCTTGATGACGGCCAAAGAAATTGGGCATGTCGAAATCGACGTAAATCGAGTTCCCTAGCCTACTCAAAAAAGTATCCGAGCTAATGTTGCATGGAAATTAACGTCTAAGTAGGAATTAAATTACTAGGCTAAAGAAAAATGCAAAAAAAATATAATAATAATAAAGTAAAGCGAGGAAAATAATGAACAATGTAATTTAGTTCAAAATAGCAAGATTCATAAAACAATAATCGGAGAAACAAGATGTTGAAAAAAATGATGAATAAAGCTAGACTTTTTTATGGTGGTTTCGCTCTCTCTCTTGATTGTTGCATTTTTCTTTTATATTTTGCATAGTTTGTTCCTAAAATTTATAAATATTCTCTCTTTTTTTTTTGAACAAATTTTTTCTATTTTTCTTATTTTTTCTTTATCCGAATTGAGTCAACACTCTTCTAGGTCAGGCCAGTCTCAAGCTGCATGAATCTCTTGGTGGACTTTTGATTTGGATTGATTCTAGGCTATCTCTCCTCTGGGTTGGTCCGAACTCAAGTTACTGATTTTTTGGCGAATTTTCAATTTGAATTAGTTCTAAACTGATTATTCAGGGATAACAATAATACAAATACAACTCTTTTAACCATATTGCTATTATGTTTGAATTAATTTATTCTTTCGTTCATAGAAGACGAAAGTTGACTTAAAAAATTTTCTATAAACATGTGATTTTTTTTTTAATGTAATTTTCACTATATGTAAAAAAACACATTATCTCAATACAAAACATCACATTTTAATTTGTATTTAGAATATAAAAAATAAATACAAAGTCAAAATTCAATAAACCCATACATCCTACAAAGTCAAAATTCAATAAACCTATACATCCTACAAAGATTTTGCAATAGTATAGTGATTTTTTTTTTTCTGAAGTTTGGTTTTTGAAATTTGAAAATTTTGAACAAAGAAAAAGAAAAATTAGTATTTAATTTGATATTTTGTGTAAGAAAATTATATTTTTGATATGATAATTTTTTAAAAATAAATAATGTCGAATAAATAAAAATTTGTAATGCTCGTTATCATATGCAAGAGTAACATTATCAAAACAGCAATTATAGTACTATTAACTATTACAACCTGTTCCATCTTATTAAATCCTCCATCCAACGGCTCACAATTGTCTTAATCCGTTGCCTTTCGTGGTCCTAAATTAAAATAATAACTAAAAGATAATAACAAAAGGGTACTTTGGTAAACTCACGTGGGACCGCTCATTTTGATGATTTTGACAAGCACAAAAACAAAAGCTAGTTCTTAGCTGAGTCAGTCCAAACAGAAACCCCCCCTCTCTCTCTCTCCTCTCTCTCTACTGATCGTTGCTTTGTGGGGAGATCACTGCCTACAATCGCCCTAATAATTCACAGGTTTGGATTCTGTCTCTTTGCAATTATTGATAAACTGTTAATTTTTTTGTATTGTGCATATAATCGCATTGCGTTGCGCAGTCGTTCCTGTGTTGCCTCATACGATGATGATCTGAGTTTTCCGCGCTGTTGTTTATGCAATTCAGGTTGTTTTAGCCTTTTTCTGATCAGAGACTTACCTGTTAGGTTCGTGCGGTATGAGTAGAGAGAAGGAGAGGCCGCCGGAGCCCCTTGATTTCTTTATTTGGTCTGTTGAGGTAATTTGCATTGTTTTTCTCTTCCGTTTCGTTTCTGTGTTTTCTTCTAGCCTAATTTTTGTTCTTCGGATCTTGTACTTGGTTACTTAAATTCCTGCATTTACTCGTATATTTTATTTGTTTATAGTTTTTGGTATTGATCTCGTTTATCATTATCGAGGTTAGATTATTGAGCTTTGGTGCGGGGACTGCTAAATTAATTTTAATACTTGTGGTAGAAGTAGATTGTGGAGGTTGAAATTTTGGTTGGATTAGTTGTGTAATCAGTATACTGAAGGCTTTGATTCATGGCCTCCTTTTAATTGCCAAACAGTATTTGTTGTACACACACTGGATTCTTCTTCTGCTTGTTTTGAAAGAGAGATGGAAGGAAACGAAGGGTGTAACTAATTGGTTTTATAAGAAACAAATTCAAGGTTATGGAGTAATCTCGGTGTTAGTATGGGGAGTAAAATAGTTTCTTCCAAGAGTCTCCTTCAATTAGTTTGTAATATCTTTGGATTTCTCTTTTCTTCGTAGGATGTTGGCCTGTGGTTGGAAGAGATAAATCTTGGCACCTATAGGCAGATTTTCAAGGAAAATGGGGTTAATGGAGAGTATTTGGAAGGGATGTCAATGTTCACGACCGAGCAGATCCTCAGGTTCATAAGGAAGTGCCACATGAAATGGGGGGATTTTATAACCTTGTGCAAGGAGCTGAGGCGAATAAAAGGTTCCCTTCTTTCTACCTCTCCTTTCCTCCTCAATGCCATTTTCTGTTTAGAGTTATATACACTTTCCATCTGCTATAAATATGCTTGTTTGTCTAGATTAAAAATAATGGTATTTTAATGTAAAAGTAAAAGTTATGTAGGATTATTTTGAGAAATCAATTACAGAATATATTTAATAGATATGTATGTGATGTAATAACTGTGGCAAAATTATTATTATGTGTAAAAGTAGGGATATATTTAAGTAGATAGAAAAAGTAATTGTTATTTATTGTACAAACACAAATTTGACGGACATACTTAAATGGAAAGTAAGCACAAATTTAGCGGATGGTGGGAGTAATTGAATTTTGTATTTAATTTGAAGGATAGGGTTGATAGATCGTATTATGAAGACTAATCATATGTTTGATAAGCAATCGTGATTGATTAATAAAAACAGGTATAAATGTGCTAAAAGTTTCTTAAATAATCTATCCCTACAACATGTGTATGTTAGTGGTGGGTATACAGGAATGGAAAACAACCGAGCCTAACGATACCATAGGAAATCAACCAAGGTTCATATCTGAGCATCTCTGTTTTCCATGATTAGGCCTTAACATGCTTGGCTTTCATAGGGGGAATTAAATGTCATGCTCGCTTAACTCAACCTTTAGATAAATCCATTTCAAATGTCATTACATAGACCATTTTCCAGTAATGATACATGAGAAATGGATATTGTGAACAACATTTTAATTGTGGGGCTTTCTATGATCGTCCTACTTTGTCACTGCTCTACCTAATTCTTTAATTGCACTATAAAATCAATCTTGCTTTTTTCTACTTAGATAATTATACTGGACAGTGCTTACCATTGTATCTTCATTTTGATTCTTTCCGCTCAATACATTTGAGCATATATTTTGCTCTTGGAAAATTTTGTCTCGCTATATGAGATTGCCGTATTTGCCAACCTCTGTCATGAAGTCATGATACTCTCTTAATCTTTACTGATTCTAATATTCTGCATTAGTGGCTTGCTTGAAAGGGGAACAAAAGGTGCGTCGACCTTGGTGGGCTCCATCTTGTCTTTCGACTGCATTTGACAAGGCTGCAGAACGCAACCGGCAGAGTCGAGTTGTTTCATTGAAGCTGGAACCATGAGGTAAACTATCTTTGGTATGTATGCATGTTTATATGTTTGTTTTGTATGCATGTTATGTATCTATGTATGTGATTTTGGTTTTAAATTGCAGAAGCAAAAAGTTATATATATGCATAATTCTATGCTGTCTTGAATTTTGCTAACAGCTGTTCATTTCTTTTTTCTCATGTGGTTATTTTTACTTTTAGGTGTAGAAAATTATGTAGTTATATGATGTTTAATAGAAATTACATTATGCTGATTTTTCCTATTTATAAACTATGCCTTGAGTTCATGTGGTCGGAATGTTATTTATTTGTGGCATTTTATTTTGTTGATCATCGAATGGATTGATAGGAATGGCTAATATGTGTCATGATTGTTTTTATTGTTGTTTTGCTTATATTGTTTCGCTGTGTATTATAATTAAAATTGTTTTGGCTAATATATGCATATTGATCGGAATGGCTAATATAGTTTTACTTGCATAGTTTTGAATGCCTAAAGGCCCGTTTGGTTGGATGAATTTTAAATGAATTGATTTGAATTACATCGGGTTTGAAATGTTTTACATTAAAATCCTTTATTTAGTTATAGGAAGCATTTAAAATATTAAAGAGGATGAATTTGAAATCTACAATCAACTATGAAAAATTTGGAATCACACGAAACTAATGAATATGATGAATTTGGATTTGAAATTTTAAAAGAATGGATATGAATTTAAAATACTTCATAAACTAAATCCATTATTTAGCTGCAGGGAGTATATTTGAAATATTAAAAGTAATAGATTTCAAATCAACGACCAACTTTGCAGATTTGAAATTTGCTAAACAAAATTAGGCTAATTTATGGAGCCATTTGAAATACTTAACCCAAACCTCACCAACTTTAACTTAAATTTCTCCAACCAAGTGGGGTTTTTGAGAATTGGTTGATCATCCTATTTAAATAGGCTTATCTCAAATAGCATTGCTGACTGTGTGTGTAAGTATTAAGATGACTCAATAATAATGCTAATTAATACAATACACAATGCTGAAGAAAGCAATAATAGAGACCGTTATAATATTAGTATAGGATTAGTCAATGAAAATATTAATTATTTCTATATTTAACCATCATATTATATATTGTATATAATATATATATAGTAATCCAGCGTGTATATATATACTAATAACTAAATGTATGTATATTAAATGTATATTGTATATAATATATATATATAGTAATCCAGCGTGTATATATATACTAATAATTAAATGTATGTATATTAAGGGTGTGTTTGTTTGGGGGTTTGGATTTTGAGTTGGGATTTGAATAGTAAAAATTTTGAATTTGAATAGTTGTATGATGTGATATAAATAGGGTTTGATGTTATGTTTTGAATGTAAAATTGATTTTTAGTATAATATAAAAAATAAAAAATAGGTGTTTGATTTGATATTTTTGGGGGGAAAAAATTGGATGAATAGTGGAAATCCACCAAAATCCTTCAAACAAAAACACCCTAAATATATATGTGTAGATATGTATGTTTTGTGTGTGTGGTGGTTAGTGTGTATATATATATAGATGCAATGATTATTTTATTTTATATGTATGTATGTTAGTATGTAAACATATATAAATATATATGATGATTAAAGATTAAGATAAGAATGAAGAGGAATTCGTTTGCTACATTTTATTTCATCAAAATGCTAGTATTTATAGGCAATTGCATATTTTACATATATGGCTGTAAATTTACAATGTATGATACACGTTGACGATATGGGGCGGTGATTTAAAGCATTCATATCTTGATATACAAAGTAACTACATTTATAATACTTCATATTAGATACTTTTATACAAAGAATGTATTTCGTTAAAGTGTTACTAGAAAAAAACTCTTTGGGAAAAAAAAAATATTAGTTGAAAGAAAAAATTTACAATGTTCTTGTATTAATTTGCTTCCATTGATTTGAACATTATTCGAGATCTCTAAACAAACGCATTTCAATTTTTTTTACCAATTTCAAATGTTGCAGCCGATAATGCCTTGGTTAATATATCAACTAAATTATTATTTGATCTAATTTGTTGCATATTAATTTCACAATTCTGTTGAAGATAATGAGTAAAAAAGAATTTTGGTGAAATGTGTTTTGTTCTATCTCCTAAATGTAACCCCCATTTCAATTGGGCTAAACAAACCGCATTGTCTTTATACAACGTAGTCAGAGGAATTTTATCTTCAGGTGTCAATCCGCAATTTTTCAGAATATGTTGAGTCATTGATCTTAACCAAATGCATTCTCGATTAACTTTATGTATTATCAATATTTCAGCATAATTTGAAGAAATGACAGTTCAATATTTGTTTCATTGATCTCCAAGAGATTACAATTTCGCGATTAGTGAATATGTAGTCAATTTGAAACTTGGCTTTATGAGGATCAAATAAATATCTTATGCCGGAAAAATCAATTAATTCATGTCGATAATCTTTTGAGTAAAATAATCCGAGATCAATTGTTTCTTACAGATAACGAAAAATGTGCTTAATCCCATTATAATGTTATTGAGTAGACGATGAGCTGAATCTTGCCAATAAATTTACATTAAATGATATGTATGATCATGTGCTGTTAACAAGATACATCAATGCTCTTATAGCACTCGTATATGGCACTTCTGGGCCTACTGTTTCTTCATTTTTTTCTCTTTTGGTCTAAATGGATCTTTTATTGAATTAAGTGCTTTGATGATCATTGGGGTACTTAGCGGATGTGATTTATCCATCAGAAATTGTTTCAGTACCCTTTTGGTATAATTTAATTGGTGGATAAAGTTTCCACTCTCCAAATGCTCAATCTGCAAACCAATACAAAATTTAGCTTTTCCAAAATCTTTGATCTCAAACACATTTTTCAGTTATTCAACAACTTTCTGGATTTTATTAAATTGAGATCATCGACATGTACATTGATGATTAGAAATCCTGACCTATTTTTCTTTATGAAAATACATGGACAAATATGGTCATTTATGTAACTTTATTTTGTTAGGCTTTCGTTGTGGCAATTGTACCACATTCGGCCTGATCGCTTGAGTCTATACAAAATTTTTTGCAATTTGATAAGATATGATTCTTTTGGCTTTGATTTGAATGATTAAGGTATATTAAATCTTTCTGGAATTTTTATGTAAACATCATTGTCTAAGGTGTCATAAAGACAGTAACCACATCCATTAATCGCATATCAAGATTTTCGCGTACTGTTAGGTTCACAAAATACATTAATGTTATCCATGACCAGTGAATATTTTTCTTCAAAATTAATAACCGGTCTTTGGGAAAAATCCTGGGCTACAAGCTTTGCTTTATATTTTGTGATATCATTATTTTCATTTCTTTTTCTCACAAACATCCATCTATAGGTAACAAGTTTCACATTTTCAGGTGTTTGGACTATGAGGCCAAATACCTATCATTTTTTCAATGAGTCCAATTCAAAGTGAAATGCGTTTTTCCATTTTGCCCAATCTTGTTGCCGACATTCTCCAATTGATTTCGGTTCATAATCCTCGTCATCTTTCATTATATCGAGTGTTAGAGAATATGCAAAAGTATTATAAACATTTGTTTTCTTTCGATTCCAATATTATCTATTGGTGATATAATTAACAGAATTTTCACCTTCATCAGAATTTTTAGTATCAACCTCTTTAGGGGTTGTACTGACCTTTTTAGATATCTAATCATTATTGACCTCTTCATCAGTACTTACAATTTTTTTCTTTCATGGATTTTTATCTTTGGAATCCAACGGTGACATGGTATCAGGTGACCCGACCCGAATATCGGCGGATCAATCGCGACCCGTACCCGATCAAATACATTACTTTATTTAGAGGTTGTGAGCCGTTAATTTTTAGATCAGATGTATGGCCAAGATTAGATTAAGCATTCTTAGCATATATTCCTTATATTCTACTTGTAAAACATTCATTCCATACATTTTTCAGAAAAAGTAACTACCACTTTGAAGAAATTTCATTCTTTTCGGAGAGATTCCACCCATCCATTGGAGTGATTCCAATCAATCGTGAGGGTTAATTTTTGAGCCTTAGTTGATTCTTCTCTTGATGGAAGAAGCATTCACAAGCCTCAAACAGTTTGTGTGGATTCATGAAGGTGTTTGCTCGAGAGGAGTATTCGTCGATTGATTCCAAATTATCTGCCGGTTCGTTTATTCGATTTCATAGTTGATTCTTCTCTTGATTTGAGATTAGATGTCATGGATTTGATCCTATCCATGTCAAACGGTCTACCATGTTTTACACGAGCAATATGTTCACTAGCATTCAACACTTTTCCTTTTGGAATATTTATTTTGGCGGGTGTATTTACTGCTTCAATATATAATTTCGTAACTCTAGCAGCATTATTAAAAGCATCAGACAATTGATTTGCAATGTTCTGCAAATGCACAATTCTTTGAACTTCAAGTTCACTATGTTTCGTACGATGATCAAAGTCAAGTGGTATTTTTCAAGAGTTCTTTTTTTTTTCTTCAGTTGATTACTATCTCCCCACAATGTCGGGAAATGAGATTCATCAAAATGACAGTTTGCAAACTTTGCAGTAAATAAATCACTCATTGTTGGTTCAAAATATTTCGCAATTGTGGGTGATTCATACCCGACATATATACCCAACCTTCTTTGAGGTTTCATTTTCGTGCGTTTCAGTGGCGCAATTGACACATAAAAAACACACCAAAAAATTCGAGGGTGAGATATATTTGGTACTTTTCCAAATACCAATTATGTAGGGAAATAACAATGATAACTTGTCCCCAAGCTAATACGAGAAGTTTAGGCCTCATTAATAATGGTCTAGCAATTAATTGCAATTTTTTATAAGGGATTCAGCCAGGTCATTTTGCATATGTACATGGGGAACATGGTGTTTCACAGTAATCCCAATTGACATCCAACAATCATCAAATGTGTGTGATGAATACTCTCCATCATTATCTAAACATATTTTTATTATCGGGTGATTTGAAAATTGTGCTTGCAATTTAATATTTGTGCAAATAGACTAGCAAAAACTAGATTGCAAATAGATAACAAACATATGTGTGATCATCGTGTTGACGTG